GGGATCGTGGCAGTTCGGCCTGCTGCGCGGCGACCCCGAACCCGAGAGCGGCATGATCTTCGTTTTGCGCGGCCAGGGGCGCAAGGAGACCGTGGTCCAGGTCGCCCGCGACGACATGGAACTCGCGAGGCCGTTCGGCCAGGTCGTGCCCCTCCCCTGGGGAGGGGGTCGGGCGGGGGCATCGCCCTTCCGCTGCGGACGTCGTCCTCGATGACGTATTATTAGTATTATTATTATTATTATTATTATTATTATTATTATTATTATTATTAGTAGTATTATTATTAGTAGTATTATTATTATTATTCGTATTAGTATGATTAGTATTATTATTGTTATTATTGTTATTATTGGTATTATTATTATTATTATTATTATTATTGTTATTGTTATTGTTATTATTATTATTATTATTAATAATATTATTATTAGCAGTAGTAGTAGTATTATTAGTATTAGTATTAGTATTAGTGTTAGTGTTAGTATTAGTATTAGTAGTATTCTCATTGTTAGTAGTATTGTTATTATTATTAGTATTAGTATTAGTATTATTATTGTTGTTATTAGTGTTGCTATTATTATTATTCTTATTTTCATTGTTATTAATATTATTAGTGTTCGTATTATTATTGTTGTTATTATTATTATTAGTGTTAGTATTCGTATTAGTATTAGTGTTAGTATTATGATTATCCTTCTCCTCCTCCTTCTCCTTCTCCCCCTCCCCCTCCTCCTCGTCCTCGTCCTCCTCCCCCCTCCTCCTCCTCCTCCTCCTCCTCGTCCTTCTCCTCCTCTTCCTCCTCCTCCTCTCCCCTCCCTCCTCCTTTCCTCATCTTTCTTCCTCCACCCTCCTACCCCCCCCCCCCCACCCCCCATTCCTCCCCATTTATTCTTCCTCCTCATTTCTCTCCTTCTCCTTTTCTCTTCCTCCTCCTCCTCCTCCTCATCCTCCTCCCTCCTCCCCTCCACCTCCTTCCTCCTCCTCCTCCTCCTCCTCCTCCTTTTCCGCCCCCTCTTCCTCGTGCTCCCCCCGGCGCCTTCGCTCCAAGCTTCCCAGGACTTCGCGGCCATCGGCCCAGATTGCGGCGCGCGTTGGCGGCGGCGTCCAGCTCTGTTCGCCCCTCCGCTCCGCCGCGAGGCGCCCCTGGCTGACGGCGGCGCGCCGGCCCCTGGCAGGCTGCTCAGAGGCAATCGGGGGCCACGGGAACGGGGGGAGCAGGGCGAGCGCTGCGGAGGAGTAAGGTCCGCCGCAAACAAATGTATTCAGGCACCCTCCGACGGACTGCTCCTGGGCCTCAGGGGAGGGCGGCGGTGTAGAAGCCACCGCTGAGGCCCAGCGACACTGCGCGACGCCGCCCTCCCTGAAGGTACATGCAAAGCTCGTCGGAGGGTGTCTGTGCATGTACTTTCGTGGCGTAGAAGGGCGTGTTGAAAACGCTGGACGGGGAGGCGGGGTGGAGCGGGGGCTCGGGGGAGGCAGACCGAGCGGTTGGCAGGGCAGGGAGACGGCAGGTCGGGCTGAGCACCGGACGGAGAGATCGGCGTAGGGGGCCTGGGGGTCAATCGCATAGTCCGCTCTGTGCTGCCCTACACCTTAGGCGATGCTTAAGAAAACCCAAGTTTTCGGCCAGAGTCTCGATTATTCTTAACGTTTCAATGTAAATCCTAAGATTTGAATGGAAATGTTGGGTTTCAGTTCAAGTTCTGAGACGATGAATTTCTTAACCCATGATTTCTTGAGCATTTCGCAGGGTGTACGGGAGGTCCGCGTCGCCTCGACCATCGGCGACTCCGCCTCCGGCGTCTATCTGGAGATCGGAAAGCAGCCGATCGTTCAAGCTTGAACGATCCACTCGATGTTGGAAACCATCGCCAGGGTCGTCGCGATAGGAGAATGCCGTAGGCGACGGCTAACTTGATGTTATGAGATGTTATGTGACACTGTGTCATTATATGATATGTTATATCAAGGTGTGTTATGGCATGTTCGGTCATGCTGTGTCATGTTGTGTTATGTCGCCTTCTGGTCTGTCATGTTCTAGTATGGTAGTTTATGTGATACTATGTAATGTTTGATGTTGCCACGACAATGCTACGGTATGTTATGCCATGGTATGACATGCTTGTGGTTTGTTATGTTGCGTCATGATGTGTATGGTCGTGTGCGTCGTCGCTATGCCTGGCTGTCGTGTTATGAGATGTTTTGTGAGTCGGTGCCATGCTATGATATGGTATGTCAAGGTGTGTTATGTTAGGCCTACCATGCTCTGATGTGGTATGTCATGTGATGTTTGTTTGTGATAACTTCTCAGACCTGTATGATATGGTATGGTCTGGTTTGCTAGAATGTGTCGTTCTGCTCTGTTGTCGTGTTATGACATGTTATGTTGTGATAAGGCATGATATGAGATGCTATGCCATGGTGTGTTATGCTATGATCGGTTACGTTATGTTATGTTGTGTTACACCGTACTATGGCATACAATGGTATACTATGGTATGTTGTGTGATGGTATGTGATGCTCTATTGTGTCATGGTATGACTGATGTTCTGCTATGTTATGTGATGCTATTGTTATGGTATGTCAGGTTATTTCGTTTCATGTTGTGTTATGTCGTGATCGTCGTCGCTCTGCTCTGCTGTAATGTTACCATATGTCATGTGACGATGTGTCATGATATGATATGGTATGCCAATGTGTATGTGATGCTCGGTTATGTTATATTACGTATGTTGTGTTCTGTCGTGTTCGTCGAGGGCGTGAGGCGGGATCATCGGGACGGCTTGAAGTCTGGCGGCAGCGGTGTGCAGAGTGGGGGATTGTCCAGGCGCGAGGCGGGACACCCGGGACACGCGGGACAACTTGGGGTCTGGCGGCCGCGGTATGCAGGGTGGGGTTGGCCGGGCGCGGGGCGGGACGCCTTGGATACTCGGGATTCCAAAGACAGCCGCGAATTCAGAGAGGAGAGGACCCGCCTTGCCAACAAGGTGGGCCAAGTGCAACTCAAGCCTAGGAGACGGCCTGTAGTCCGTGGATGCGTACAGTGCAGATATCAAAACAAGGATGCCGCCACACAGTGCCTTTGGGATTCTCGGGACAATTTGGGGTCTGGCGGCCGCGGTATGCAGGGTGGGGTTGGCCAGGGGGGCCTGCTGAAGTCTACCAACCCCAACCTGTCGGGTGTGGAGAAAAGAGATACGACGGAGGAAAGTGGGACAGGGAGAGGGGGAGGGAGGAGGAGGGAGGTGAAGGGAGCAGGGAGGAGGGAGGGGATGGAGGAGGGAGAAGGGAGGACGGATTGATGCGTAAAAGCTCCAGCACGGAACAGCTCAGCGTTTTCACAGACCAGTGTTCCCAGAGTCTTTCCAGCCCCTGGCCACTGTGCTCCATCTGGTCTGAGCCAGTTGATCCAGCCATGGCCACGCCCACTTCAAGGAATTCCAAACCTCCATGCTTGCCTGCCTCCTCTGCAGTTTGCCTGCCAGGCTGGGCTGCCCCGACCCACCGACCGCCCATCTGGGCAATCAGCTCCGCACTGATCGTTCTTCCAGTCGCAAGCCTCGCGGGGGGGTAGGGGGGGACACTCGGCGGTGCGCCGATGGGGGAAGTGAGAAGCTTCTGAGAAGCCGCCTCTGTCTTCGGAGAAGGCTCAGGAAGCTTCTCAGAAGGCCGGAGGCCTTCTGAGCTCTCCGAGAAGGCCCGCGCTCCCTCTGCCCTCCCGGGCTTCCCAGAAACACCATGAGGCTTTGGAGGAGGCCTGGCAAGCTTCTCGGAAGGGCGGGCTTCCTGAGCCTTCTGAGAAGGCCCGCACCCCTTGCCTCCCTCCCTGGGCGCGCCTCTGGGAAACGCGCAGACGCCAGGCGCGACGCAGCCGATCGTGACCGACGGTCTGGAGGTTCCGTCCACGGCCCTCCGCCGCGGCACAGGCCTTCGCGACGCGCGCCGCTGCCGCGCTCTCCCCGCCCAACCGATCCACTGCTTGATGAAGCTCATCCTCCTCCTCTCTTTCCATTCCTTCTCCGTATGAATAATTTTTCCCTGTCGCACCCCGAGGCCAGTATTTAGGCTGGGCCGGGCGTTTCGCCTGAGATTCCTTCACCACGTATGATTCTGAAGCTTTGAAATGGTAAGAATTTCATGGATTGGGGGCGGTTGGTTTTCGAAATGTGGCGCTAGCCTTAGCGCCGCGCACGTTCGTTTTAGAAAGCTTCATGGATTGAGGGCGGGTCGCTTTCAAAATGTGGCTCTCGTCTTAGCGCCGCGCGCATTCGCTTTAAACATTTGCAAGGGTTTCACGCATTGAGGGCGGTTTGTTTTCAAAATGTGGCTCTCACCTTAGCGCCGCGCACATTTTTTTTTACAAATAAACATGTGCAAGAGTTTCACGGATTGAAGGCGGGTAGTTTTCAAAATGCGGTTTTCGTTTTAGCGCCGCGCACAGTCGTTTTAAAATGTGCTAGAGTTTCACGGGTTGAAGGCAGGTTTTCAACATGTGGATCTCGCTTCAGCGCCGCGCACATTCGTTTTTTACAACTGCAAGAGTTTCACGGATTGAGGGCGGCTCGTTTTCAAAATGTGGCTCTCGCTTTAGCGCCGCGCACACTCGTCCTAAACATTTGCAAGGTTTTCACGGGTTCCCATGATCAGCGTACCAGAGATGGCGTTTTGGAAGGATGCAGGGTCACGCGGGTGCAACAGTTATGATGATCCGCGGTGTTGAAGTCCCCCAAATGGCGTTTTCACCGGATTCCAGATCGCCAGGACGCAGTAGTCAGGTTGATCCGTGGCATGGAATCCCGAGAACAACGCTTTGGCAGTATTCAAGGTCTTCAAACGGGTGTCTTGCAACGAGGCAGTTCCTTCAATGGAAATGAGCCGTTGTAGGAGCCTATGAAGAGGGAGCTTGGAGGGACGGTTGATTCTATCGTTGATGACTCTTGGGCTTACACTGGTCCTCCTCCTCCTCCTCGTCCACTCCTTTGACTCCTGCATAACTCCTCCCTGTCTCACGTCGCACCCACAGACGTGGGGTGTTTCGCTTGATACCGCCCCACCATCTATGATCCTGAAGCTTGAAGTTTGCAACAACTTCAAGGACGTGGGGCGGGAGGCTTTCAAAATGTGGGTCTCGCCTGAGAGTCACGCACATTCGTTTCAAAAGCTTGCAACAGCTTCCAGGATGGAGGAAGATGGTTTTCAAGATGTGGCTCTCGCCCCGCCGCACACATTGGCTTCAAAGCTTGCAGTAGCTTTGACGATGGAGGCGGGTGGTTTTCAAAATGTGGCTCTCGCCCTATATCCGCACACGTTGGCTTCACAGCTTGAAGCAGTTTCAAGGGTGACAGGCGGTTCCTTTTCAATGAGTGGTTCTCGCCGTAGTGCTGCGCGCATTGCTGCGCGCATTGCTTCTAAATGCCACAACAAATTCAAGTATTCATAAGGTTGCAGTCCAGGACTGGTGTTTTGGTGCGACTTGGGAATGTCAGGGCAAACCAATCACGTTGATTCGTGGTGTTAAAGTCCCAGTAGTGTTCAGTCCCGATTTAGGATTGTCAGGACGCAGCAGTCACGTTGAGTCGCGGCGTTGAAGTCCTGGGAATGGTGCTCTGGCGCGGTTGAATATTTTCAGACGGATGTATCGACTTTTGGGGGGCTTTGGGGAGCCTCTTGGGGCGGGAGGGGGAGGCAGTCGCTTGCGGCTCCCCCCCGGAGGCCACGATCCTCGTGAGGGGTGTCGAAAAATGGCCCTCCCCTGTGGCGTTTTGGGGTGATCGCCCGGGAGTGGACCGGGACCTTGGCCGGGGTATTTTCGTCCGAGGGCCCCAGGGGTCGCTCCGCGCGTGCGAACTAGAAATATTGTTAACCAGGTGCCGGAGATCTTAGCACGCCTTTGGCCCGTTGGGCTGGCGAATTACCCCTTTGTTCTCGCTCCCCTCCTCAACACGCTATCGCTGCCGCCACCTTTGGCGTCACTGTTTGCTCAGGGCCCCGAAAAAGTACCCCTGCCTGTCGGGGGGAACTAAAGAGAGCCTCTCTAAGAGTTTGATGTATGTTGTTGTCGGGGGTTATGTGGATATGTTCGTCGAGTTTGTCGGTTGTGACAGGTGTGTTCGGTTGATGCTGGTTGCAACATGTATGTGGTATCAAGAAGAGGGGTGAGGGTAGTTTCTGAGTTCGTCGCCTTCACCAACTAGGTTTTTGTTTATGTACGTATGTGTTGTGTGTGTGTGTGTGTTTTGGGGGGGAGGCGGTTGAGACTGTGCTTCTCCTGAGCGCTTTCGCAGTTTACGTGTTTGTCCTGGTTTCCTCAATCGACGGCGCGCCCTAGGGGGAAGGCAGCCTTCTCAGAATGATGAGCCTGTTTTCCACCACCACCACCATGAAGGGGGGAAGGAGGAGGAAAAGGAGGAGGAGGACGAAGAGGAGGAGGAGGAGGAGGATGAGGAGGAGGAGGAGGACAACCCCCCTCCAACTTATGGTGGTGGTGGAAAACACGCCTATCACAGAAGGTTCAGAAGGCCTCTGGCCTTCCGGGAAGCTTTCCAGGCCATCCCCCAAGCCACGGAGGGTTTTCAAGAGGCCACAGGGTTTCCGAGAAGCCCTGCCGCCGCCAGCGACTTCTGACGCATGGTTTTCGTGTTTGCTGGATGCTGTTGTTCATCCTGGGGGAGGGTACCCTCGCATGTTCTTCAGTTTGGCCAGCGGAGGGTCTCGTGCTCTTGAACGGCCTTATTATGTCCCAGGTGCGAACGTATCTGAGCGTCTCGGCTGGATTCGGCTGTGTCACTCCACCTGGAGTTCGGCAAAAACTAAAAAAAAAAAAAAAAGACAATAAAAAAAAAAAAAAAAAATTAAATTAATCAAAACAACAATAAAAAAATAGATAATAAAAAAAAACAAGTAAGTATAAAAATAATAATATATATGAAAAAGTAAAGAAAACAAAATAAAAATAAAAAAAAAAAATAAAAAAAATAATAAAAAAAAAAAAAATAGAAAAGAATAAAAAACTAAAAATAATAAATCACACCCATGCGAGTCGGGGGTGTGTGCACGTCCACCGCCGGGGAAATCCGTACACTCAGACCTCCGCACCCCTGCGAATGGCTGCAAGTGTTCCCGACGAATGCGTGCGGCGCGAGGGCGAGAGCTACACTTGCGAATCGACGTGCGGGAGCCTCTTCCTCCTCCTCCTCCTCCTCCTCCTGCTCATCCTTTCCTCTCCTCCTCCTCCTCCATCCTCCTCCTCCTCCTCCTCCTCCTCCTCCTCCTCCTCCTCCTCCTCCTCCTCCCTCTCCTAATACTCTCATCCTCCTCCCTCCCGACTCCTCTCCTCCTCCTACTCCTTCCTCCTTACTCTCTCCTCCTCCTCCTTCATCTCCTTTTCCTCCTCCCTCCTCCTCCTCTCCCCTCTCCTCCTCCTCTCCTCTCCTCTCCTCCTCCTCCTCCTCCTCCTCCTCCTCCTCCTCCTCCTCCTCCTCCTCCCCCCTCCTTGCGGCACGCCCCGACGGCGGTCTCCCCCGTCTCGGTGGGCGGCCGCCGGGCCCCGAGGCACTCCCGGCGGCGGCGAGGGCGCCTCGTGCACGCTCCGGCGCGGGGAGGAGGCGCCGCGCGGGCCGCGGGGTCGAGGAGGAGGAGGAGGAGGAGGAGGAGGAGGAGGAGGAGCAGGGGGAGGAGGAGGAGGAGCGACGCGGGGCGAGGTGGAGGCAGGAGCGGGCGGAGGCCAGGGCGGGGAGGGGGGGAGGCAGGAGGTGCCGAGGAGGACGGGCAGCGGCGCGGGGCGAGGCGGAGGCAGCGAGCGTCGCGCGCCGCGGCCCGCGCGCCGCGCGGCTGCTTTGCTCGCGCCCTCGTGCCGTCCCCCAGTCTGGCGGCGAGCGCTGGGGGGAGGCGAGAAGGAGCCCCCTCCCGTCGTCCGCGCCCAGCCGCCGATGCTGGTGCTGGTGCCAACTTTTCAGCCTCCCATGCTGGTCACGGCCATCCGCGTCGTCCCGTGGCACTGTGGCGTCCATCGCCCTTGGTTGGGCGGATCGTGGGCGAAGATTTGGTCGCGGGGTAGGGCGGGAACGTCAACGGCTGGAAGGCGCTTCAAATTTAGC